GCCTCCCTCATCCTCTGTCTGCCTCTCAGGTCTCAGCAGGACTTATTACGTGAGGAGTGAGTCCTCGGATCATTTGGACGTCTAGTTCAGACCTTGGAGGCGTGAGGTTTTGTCATTTAAAAGAATTTATCTGACTCTGTGTGTTAGAGATCAACAGATTGTCAGAGCAGCGAACCTGAAGTCACAACACATCAATAGTTCTGGTTGAAATGATGTTTGCCTCGTCACACTTTAGATCTAATTCATTTAAAACACATTTAACTTCACGTTTTATAAATTCATTGCTCACATTTTCATATTTAATAAACTGACACGATATCTGTGTCCCAGTTCCACACAACGTATGGATTCACTTTGGTTTCTGTTTTGTTTCGACCAATGGAAACATGGAGGAAGTAATGATACTGAAAGATGAGTTCATTTGAGAAATTGTCATGTAAGAATCAACATTGCTAAATATTTTATTTATATTTTTATATTGTCAAAGATGGTCAAACCTGGAGCGACAGAGAAATCCGGATTTTTATTCACGCTCCCCAACCAACACATGGATGTTACATTTCCCAGAATGCAGCTTGAGTTGTGTTGGATTGGTAGTTTGCTTCATGTGCTAATGAGAGGATGAAATATTTCCCAAGGTCGACTGTTTGAGTAACAGATCCGTAAATCTGAGGAGGCGTCAGAGGCCAGAACACGGCACAACATCATCATGAGAGTCAGACTCTGTGATTGGACGGGACGTCACCGCGCTGAACTAATTTGTAGTAAACTGATCTTTATCTGTGAAATATGTGGAGTTCGCTTTTTAAAACTAATTCTAGAGCCGAGACACTTTGAAGATCTCAGGAACCAAAAATCTGATTATTGGGAAAATGAAATAGCTTCTTCTTTTTGCACCAAATGGAAATGTACATAGAGTATTTTGCTTTATCAGGAAAAACACATTTCACTGACATGTAGGATGCAGTACAATGCTGCACACAGTGAGTATGAAACTGGGACACAGCTCATTTGTTACTCAGCCAACATGTAGATATTCAGATTTAAATTCTTCCAAAGTGTTTTGTAGTAAAAGTTCCAGAGACATCCTGGATGTGCCATGTTGGAAATACAGAAATACAGAGTGGAGATGTTTTGGCGGTGAAATAGAAAAACTGTGACATGGAGCAAATTCAAAATGACAAGAGAAATGATTCCTCACACAGGCTCTGTGCTGTTTGACATTTGTGCCAGAGGGAAGTCTGACGCTGTGAGTGTGTGTGTGTGTGTGTTGAAATCGCAGTCGGATGTGTCAGTACACACTTAATACATTGAAGGAATGTATTAGTAGTCTCAGAAATAGCATTAAAAACTAGCACAAAATAGAAAAGCGCAGTAAAAGTATAACCTGAATCACATCACAGATATATTGTATGTATATTAAACGACCATTTAGTTTTTTTGTTTTGAAGAGATTGATTTATTCAAATGTAAAAAAGAAAAGTGTCATCTATGTTTTATATAATCAAGCTTTTTTTGTATTTTTATACTTGAAGAGGATTCATAAAACATGTAACACATTTATTCTGTAAATTATTATTTTTCTGCGTTGAAGATTTATTTTTTTCTGCGAACCATGACCACGTCGTGTCGTAGAGATCACGGAGACCAGTCGGCGGCAGAGTGGGTCGTTACCGCCGCACTTCTAAAAAGCACATAACCTCCTTCCTCTAAAACCATCACGTCACTGATAGAACCCCATTTCGTTGCTGTTCTCCTCTATTATAACCAATAGTGTACGTACACGACCCCGAATATACAGTTTAAACTATATCGATGGTTTCTTGATGAATGTGTGGTCGTTTGAATCATTTGTGGATGTTGAAATCATGTATATAAACCCAAATACTATATTACAGAACTGATTTTATGTGAGATTTTTTTAAACGTGGGAAAAAAGAAATCCAAAATGGCATGCATACTGTATACATTCCTGGAAATCTGCACGCTGGCTCAACAGAGATCTCATTTTCTTGTCAATAATTCTGTGTATAACTGTGAGCGTACGATAGAGTAAACAAAAATTGTACAGTAACATAGATTTTTGTATTATGTTGAAAATGGGTCTGTAAAGGTCCTTTTACTGTCAGAATAACGAAGAAGAGAAAAAAACCATATTCTAACTCTTGGGAAAGATATTTAAATGATATTGTATATCGACTAAATACTGAGAGTGATGCTTGCTGTGTGGGGTAAGTGTTGTTTGTGAATCGTGAAGAAGAATGATAATCTACTACAAAGTCCGTTATATAACTAAAGACCAACTTAACAGTGCAAAACATCACGCAACTTTGTGTATGGAAAGTAAAAGTTGCTGCTTCGTGTGAGAAAAATCAACCAAACCAAGCGGTTGCTGCTTTTGTACGTTCCTGTTGTGGTTTTGTGACAATAAAGGTGATTCCTCTTATACATGATGGTTGTTCAGCGTCTCATCTGTCAACAGCATCAAAAACATCGTGAGAACTTCCCTCAGATTCTCTTCTGCTCCTTGAGAGACGCATTCATGTGCAACATTAGCTAAAGGTAGCTTAGAGAACGAGTCCGCTCACACTAGCTAGCGTTAACTAAGAGTCCGGTTAGTTTAGAAATAAGGTTGGCTAGCATTTGCTAGCTTAGAATGAGTTTGTAAACACCAGCTAATGTTAGCTAGAATTTAAGTCGACTATTAAGCTAACGCCAGGTCTGCTCTTCCTGCTGCGTCACCAGATTTTTACAAATGTTGAGTCCTTGCGTTTAAAAACTAATTCTTCCAGCGTTGTCTCCTCACTTTTTTCAGCCTTTACCTCTTTTAAAAAAACGTTTGCAGATGCGACCTACCTAGAGTCTACAGGCTGCACTTCATTTACCAGCCACCAGGGTCAGAAATACCTTGTGTTCTGCACGTTGACCTTTAAAACGAGTGAGTCATTGTGATTCTCCGTGGGTGCGGCAGAATGACTCAGACTGGAGTGTGTTCAATAATGGAGCGAGTTCTCGGAGGACGCAATAAAATGGAAATGGGCCTCGATGAGAAAGGTTCCCGCCCCCTGGTCTGAAACATGAAACAGCCGGGATGAAAGGATGATTATTTATAACGGTCGTTAATAAATTATGAATGTGCCGTCATTTAAAACGTCTTCAAATACTTATCAACAAAACTTGGTTTGAATGATGTCGACTCTCGGACTGATCCCATTGGACAAATGAGACTCAAACGAATAAACGAGGGAGTGACTTAAATTAGGTTAAAAATATCTGCTCGTTTAGATTTGACGACATCGAGGATCGTTCGTTTAAACAGAATCTTCATCAGCAGAGAAATAATAAACAAGTTGCAAAGAAACTAAATCTTTGGGACATTTGTATAGAAACTTGATTTATGTCAAGAAACTGAAATAACTGACAAACTGATCTTAACTCATGACTGCAGGTTCGATGTTTGATCAACTGTTATAATAAGACGATGCACAGGTACTACTTTATATTCATGCTGTATATAAACCACCTGTTCACTGTCAGTGACGTTCTTAACGATCGTTATTTTAAAATGCAAAGGAAACAGCCCCGAAATCTTAATTTAGACATTTTTATATGTTAATTAAAGAATTTGACAAATTCTGTTTGTCCTGCATTTTGCGGACATATTTAATTTATCTATCCAGTAATTCTCCACAGTTAAATATGCAGAGAGGGTTTTTACAAACAATGCAAATGGTCATTATCACAATTCACTGATGACAGAATCTTAAATCCTCAATTCTCTTCTTTGAAACTCAAGTTTAATTCTTCGTACGATGATGAAATCATGTTCTCACAGATCAGCTGGAGTCGCTGGAACGAGCCGACATCAGCAGCTGTGTGATAAACTGAGACTGTGTGAAAATGGACATTAACGAGCGTTAGAGCGCTGCTGTGTTTACCTCCGGGGATTAAAGATGGAGGCTGAAGGTGCTTCATCAGCGTGAGAGACTTATTATTCACAGACTCCGCAGTGCCCTTCACGCTCTGCCCTGCTCTGCAGCCAGGAGGAGCCCTCGGGCTGACGTCGAGTCTCAAAGCATTTTCTTCCACTTCTCTCAAAGTGGCCTTACGTAGGTTTTTGCTATCGCTACATGGCTAACGTTAAGATTAGCAGCTGTTTAGTTTAATTCATTTAATTATTTTACTCACAAGGTTCTTCTCAGTTATCCACGGCCCTGCTCAAGACGCATCGTCCATCTTTGTTCACAGTTTGATTCCATCACTGTTTCCGCCCTGAAGGAGAAGTTCTGCTTAGAGAATCTATAACCTGTGTTTAATGTTATATAACCTGTGTTTAATGTTATATAACCTGTGTTTAATGTTATATAACCTCGTTCACCAATGAACATACGGCACCTTTAAGTTTCATCCTTTTTTTATTTCAGTCTGATATTATTGTGCATTTCATTGAAGGGTCTGAATTTCTCTTTACAGCTTGTTTCCTCTGTCATTAATCAAATATTATTAGTTTTTCACTTTAACACTGCGCCGGGTTTTTCCCCCGGAAGCTTCAGGAAGTGAGGCGGTCCTGCCCTGCTGCTCCTCCACTTCCTGCTCCTCCTCCACTTCCTGCTCCTCCTCCACTTCCTGCTCCTCCTCTGACACTGTGTGAACGACACCTCGACAGAACTTCAGAGACCTTCATTCAAACTGAAACAGACTGTGAGTACAGTAGAACTCAAACACGCTGCGCTGACAACAATCAGAGTTAGAACTCCTTCACTCTGTGCTACAAGAAAATATTTACTTTGACTTGCAGCTTGTTTCAGACAGAATTTAAAGTCGTGCACGATGTGTGAAACTTGTTCAGGCAGAACAGCAGCAGGATCATGTCTCAGCTGCTGAGTCATGAACCGGATCATGTCTCAGCTGCTGAGTCATGAACCGGATCATGTCTCAGCTGCTGAGTCATGAACCGGATCACCGAGAAACCAAACTGGAAAAACTGAAGAAGCTGAAAACGTAAACATTAACACCCAGGACCAAAAGTATGGAGGCTCGACGGTGCCCACCAGAATAATTATTAAAGTTTACAACATATTACATTTATTGTGAGATGAAATAAAGCCTTTTGCAATGTCTAATTAATATTTAACTAAATCCTACACTTAAACTTAGTCCTGGATATTTTACTTTGCTAAATATACAGTTCATTATATTTATTAACTCATATTTCAAATACAACGAATCATTTCCTGTTGTCACACTTCAGCCTCTGTAAATCTTCAGTGTTAAAGTGACGATGACGGTAAACTTCTTATCAGGAGTTCATTTATTGTTTTATAGTTTTATTGATTCTACCTAATATTTTACTTTGGTCCCAGGCAGGTTTCTAAATCTTCTGTTTTTCGTTCACAGAAACCTTCATCACGAAACTGAGGATTTATTTCATTCAACTTTGACCTTAAACCAGTTTTCATGGTTCAGGATCATCGTGAGGAAACATGGCCGACGTGTTTGAGTTCGATGACGGCTCTGTGGACTTCAGACCATTTACGAGCTGCGCCGACCCGGAGGACGAGCTCGTAGCGAGTTTGGCGTCTTTCGTAAAACTCTACGATCGACATGAAGATCGTCTTCAAAGATGTTCGCAGAGCTTCACGCAGACGGTCGCTCGAGTGCGTGAAACACAGGAGCTGGTTCCTGGAAACAAAACGATTCGCGGCGTGTTCGGCGGTGTTCTCGGGGCGGTTTCTGGCGGAATCGCCGGTGGGGTGGGGGGTGCTTTGGGGGCAGTTGCTGCGACAACCTGCCAGAAACTTTGTGGAGAAATCAGCGCAGTCGGTGCGACTGTCGGCTTCGCTGGGAGCGTGTTCGGGGGTGTGGCTGGGGGAGTGTTTACCGGAAGCGTCGGCGGTGCTGTCTGCACCACAGCTTCAAGTTCACTTCGTGGTTCAGTGAGCAATGCATTATGGGTCACGATGGGTTTTGCCACAGGTGGTGCAATCGGTGGTGTTTTTGGCGGGACAGTTGGTGCAGCAGGTGGCGCTGTTGGTGGCGGGTTTGGGGCGTTGCAGGGGACGAGATTTGCCGTTTACGTAGTTGGAGGCGCCGCTGATAGTTTCAAAATAGAGAAGAGGACGAGACAGGAAGTGAACGTGATGCAACACACTGGACACGACTTCAGTGAAACCATCAAACCTCTGCTGCTGGAGCTGAACTCAATAAAAACCCTCGGGGAGAAAATAAAGTCCAGTCCCGACGTTCAGCGCGTCGCACGACAAACTGCAGAGACTCTGGCTGCTGCGACCGCGATGGAGAAAACTGTGGGTGATTCCCAGAGAGTCACTGATTCAACTCAGCTTGTTGAAGAGGCAGCGAAACAAAGCCGACGAATCTGTGAGGAACTGAAGACAACGAGGACGGACGCAGAGAAACTCCTGATTTCACTGAGGATGAAACAAGAACCCAACAAACTCTGACACGTTCTCGACGGTTAATGAATCAGAACTGTGATAAAGACACGGATCGTCTTTATTTTCAGTCTGGTTATGAGGAGGAAAGAATATAAAATAAAAAATATGAAAATGTCTCAACTTCAACAGAGAAACTAACTGAAACTGTTTGTAATTCAAACTTTATCATAATAACATGATATTTTAAGACTTTAAGGGTTCATGGGTTCAGAAAATTTTAAATACCAAC